AATGTGTTCCAGAAATGAGTAAACATTCACAGAGTTTCTGAAGATAAGATACCTTCCTGACATCCTTAAATCACACCATTAAAGGGACCCCTCTATGCTTGCAAAAGATAATTATTTTATGAATCTGAGGCCTGATCTGCAGAGTCCCAAGGCTGAAAAGGATCCCCTATCACTTTCACTGGATCTACTCTATATTATTTCCAATAATGGTCTAGGTCTGTATTTAAGCACATGTAAAACCAAAACCAAACTCCCTGCCATCGAGTTATTCCTACTCATAGCGACCCCCATTGGGTTGTAAATCTTTACAGAAGCAGATTGCCCCATCTTCCTTCCATGGAGCAGCTGGTGGGTTTGAACCACTGACCTTCTGGTTAGCAGCCAGATGCCTTATTCATTGCACCATCAGAGCTCCTACTAAGCACATGTAGCAACAAGAAAATAACTTCCCAAAGAAACCCATTTGAGTTTTTCCATGTGTCCTTCATCTACTTTGACACTTTTGAGCTCTCTGGTCAATAACAAATGAAATTGTAAAGCAATGAAGGGAGGAAATCCACCACTGAGAAGTTTAAAAAATCAAGGAGCACAAATCACATTAGGACACCTTTCTGCTTTTTAATTTGAGACTCAGGAAGGCTAGCCACCCTAAAACAGCCATATCTAGGATCATCAAGGAGATTATAACAGGAAACTGAGCATAAATTGCTATGGCAGGAAACTGATTAGTTCAGCAGAGAGACAGGATGCTTCTTGTCTCTACCGTTGTCTGAGAAAATTCTGTGCCTCCTCCATGGGCCAACTACTCAGAGATAATGATAAAGAAATAAAGGATTGTAAATTTGTCTCATGAAAGTAGGCTGGAGTACACTTAATAATGAATGTATGAGTAATATAAACTATTGCCTGAAATCACAAGGAAACTGAAGTCAGTCAGCAGAGGAGATATTTTTTAAAAGAGCAATATAGTCATATTATGTAAAACACTACATGATCTACAGAACACAAAGTTCTACATAGTGTACTGATTAAAAAGGAAAATTTAAAAAATAAGTAGCAGACATGCTTTGAAAGAACACACCTGCAGGACAATGTTTTCTATGAAGGATCTCTAAAACCTGAACAATCCCAATTAGATGGCTTGAAACACACTGAAAGTAATCAGCCAACATTCCAACCTGTGCTAGGTAGACTAATGGCTCTTCAAAGATGCTCACAGTCTAATTCCCAGGACCTATGAATATGCTACCTTACATGGCAAAAGGAATTTTGCACATGTGATTAAGGAACTTGAGATTGGAGACTATCCTGAATTATCTGGGTAGGTCCAATTATCTATATGGTTCTTTAAAATTGGAGTACCTTTCTCAGCTGGGTTGAGAGTCAAAGGAAGATGTGACTACAGAATAATGTCAGAGAGATGCAACATTGCTGGCACTGAGGATGGCAGAAAGGAGCCATGGACCAAGGAATGTGAGTATACTCCAGAAGCAGGAAAAGGAAGTGAAAAAAAATCCTTCCCTAGATCCTCCAGAAAGGAATGTAGCCTTGCTGGTATCTTTTAGCTCAGATGAGCCCAGTAAGACGAGGCTGGACCTCTGATTACAGAATTGTAAGATAATCAACTCCTATTGCTTTAAGTCACTGAGTGTGTGGCAACTTGTTCCAGTCACCTAGAAAGCCAACACAGATCCAATCACATCACTAGAGGGATGCAGGAGATGGGAACCACACTAGGTGACACTGTCAGAGGAGGGGACACCAAAATGCCTGACTATAAAAAATCTTGTGCAATGTTTTTGCAGAATGCATTATTTTTTATTAAAAATATCCCTGTATAATAACATATCTGACAAGGGACTTATCTCTAGAATTTATAGAACACTCCAACACCTCAATAACAAAAAGACAAACAATCCAATGAAAAAATGGGCAGAAGACATGAATAGACACTTGGAGGATATTCAAGCGGCCAACAAACATATGAAGAAATGCTCACGATCATTAGCTATTAGAGAGATGCAAATCAAAACAACAATGAGATACCATCTTGCTCCAGCACTAGTAGCAAAGTTCAACAAGACAGAAAATAACAAATGCTGGCGAGGTTGTGGAGAGATTGGGACTCTCATACACTGCTGGTGGGACTGTCAAATGGTACAACCATTGTGGAAAGCAGTATGGCGATTCCTTCAAAAGTTGGAAATACAAATACCATTTGACCCAGCCATCCCATTACTAGGTATATACCCTAAAGAAGTGAGAGCCATAACAAGAACAGATATATGCACGCCGATGTTCATCGCAGCACTATTTACAATAGCCAAAACTTGGAAACAACCTAGATGTCCAACAACTGAGGAATGGATAACCAAACTTTGGTACATTCACACAATGGAATACTATGCAACGCTAAAGAATAATGTAGAATCTGCAAAACACCGCATAACGTGGATGAACTTGGAGGACATTATGCTGAGCGAAATAAGTCAGTCACAAAAGGACAAATATTGTATTAGTCCGTTATTGTAAAAGTTAAGGAAATGTTTATATATTGGAGGACATTTTCTTTGTTGGTTACCAGGGGTGGGAGGGAAGAGGAGGGAATGCTGTTAGATAGATAGAGATAAATATTGATTTGGGTGAAGAGAAGGGCAATGTACCAAATGTGAGTGACCAGTATGGCAGCATTGAGGATGAGAAAGACAGAGAGAGTTACATGGGCAGTACAAACAACAAATATGAACCCCTTTGTAAATACAATACTGAGTTGTTAATGAAAGCAAACATGGGTATAGGGACGGATAGATGGGTGAACAAGCTAAACAATTATGTATGTCTAAATGGAGAGTGTATCCAAGATCATATACAGGGTTGGCAGACAATGGGCCTCTCGAAGAGTATGAAGGGATGGACACTGGGAGGAGGTAGCTATGGGGAGGAAGTGGGAGGGGAGCTGCTGCATTGTAAATTTTGGTCAATGACATGAGACAAAGTATATGTGAACTTCTGTATGAAAAGTGAATTTACTCTGTAAATCTTCACCCAAATCCTAATAAAAAAAAAAAAAAAAAATCCCTGTAGTAACATAACAACAAAACCATTTTTTTATCAGCCCATGTTACATGTATCAATATACCCACAAGGCTAAAACTCTGGGCTAATTTACTTTTTGAACCTTCTGGTGCACTCTGGTCAGAGCTGTCATTATTACCAAATTACAACGATACTTTGAATCATGTGTTTCATCTGCATGTGCTACAAGCACACGTTGGTGATTCTGTTCCAATGATTTTATAGTCACTGATTTTGTCAAATTTTCTGATGTTTTAGGTACAGTATGGTGGTAAATCATTTGTGACCCTTTACCAGTAGTTTTCTTGATAATGAAATAGTAATTCCAGGAAATGAAGGAGAAAATTCAAAATAGGCTGCCATTCAGTTACTCAAAAACCACTTACCGCTGCTCAGTCAATTTCGACTTATAGTATGGTAGTTATGTTTGTGTGTCAACTTGGCTGGGCCTGGTTGAGTGGCTGGGCAGCTGGTGGTAGTTATTCCCCATGATGAGACTGCCAATCAACTCCATGGTGGTATCTACCACAAGCAGCTGAGTAGCTGCCTTTGGGATGTGGTCTGCTTCCTGCATATGAGGAGAGGCCTTGGGAATGGTCTCTAGCTTATGGCAGGCAGCCGTGGACCCTGCATGTAGCCATATTGCTGTTCAGCAGCCTGCCATGCTCTGCCGACCTTATGACTTACAATGGACTTGAGTTAATGACCTATCATGTGGTTTGGTAACATCGGGACTGTGCCTTTTTACTGGTCAACCCTGGGCTTGGCAACCTCAGCAGCCAGCAGCTGACTGAGTGAAGAAAAGCCTCTAGCTTCAGTGGAAAAGGAGCTGGAGGCAGAGCTGAAGCCCAAGGCTGAGGGGCTTTCACCCAGCCCCTAGAGCCTGGCACTTTGAACTTGGGACTTAAAGCCTCCAAACTGTAAGAGAATAAACTCCTGTTTATTAAGGCCATCCCATTTGTGGTCTATTCTTGTCAGAGCAGCACTAGGTAACCAATAAACATAGTGACCCCTCCTTGGTTTTCTGAGGCAGTATCACTAGGGAAGTATCAATTGCCCAATCTTCTTTCCAAGGAGTGGCTGGTGGGTTTGAACCACCAGCCTTCTGGTTAGCAATCAAATGCCTTAGGCACTAATAATGTTATAATTCAACATAGAAAGATTTCACCAAACAATTTTGTCATTACTAGTGTTATAAGAAATATTACATTTAAGGAATTTACAACTACCTTTATCATGTATGATTCTAGAATTAAAATTGACAACAAACATAACTAAGAATTCTGTGTGATCTGGCACAGGGGACGAAGGGGTGACACCATGAGTTACCACAGTGGATAACACCAATCCTACTGATGCACTGTGCATACCTATATTCTTTGAGATCTTCCACAAACACTAAAAATGACACAAACTGAAACCTCCTGTCATTACTCAAAAGTGACTCTTTAACAGGCACTCAACATATGAACATGACATATTTCCAAAAATGCTTTTTTAGAGAAGATGACAGAGAAGGTCCTGAAATAGTAACTCTTTCAAAGAGGAAATGAAAGATTCAGTAGATACTGAAAAGATTAACTTCTCCCAATGAATCCATCAGGAAAATACCATTCATTTTCCTTGAATTTCTTTTGTAATTGAGTGGTAAGACCTTTTGTCTGTATTACCTCTCCTACTTTCTTCTCCTCTTCTCTCCCTAAACCTGATTTTGAACTTCTTTGTCCATTAAGTTTTATAGTAATCATTCATTGGCATACATGTTTTCTAGAATTTATTATAGCAATAAAAAAAATTAAAATGAAATTGCTCATTGAAATTTTGATACTGTTGAACAATATGACATTCATTCATATTTCAGATTTTACATATTATTGAAGAAAAAAAAGGAGTCAAACTGTAAATCAGAAATCTTTCTTACTCACCACTTTGCAGCAAAGAGGCCAAAACCACCACATCAAACCAATGCCCAAGATTAGAAGTAACACCAAAATAGCAATGATGGCTGCAATCCCATTTGACTGGAATTACAAAAAACAAAAGCAAAGTGGTTAGCAAAGGTGAGAATCAAATTCCAAGTGTGCATATTCTTTAAGGAAACAGTAGCAAATAATAAATAAAGCATAATAATGTTGAAACCAGATTGGTACTACATACCTTGACATTATTTAAATTATATATATATATGACTGCAAACCAGAAGGCTGGCCTTTCAAACCCATCAGCCACTCCTCGGAAGGAAGGTTGGGAATCTACTTCTGCAGTGATACTGCCTTGGAAACCCAAGGAGGGGTCGCTATGAGTTGGGTTCGACTCGACAGCACATAACAACAACAACATATAGATGTACATAAATATATTGTCGGGCCGACTTGATGACACATAACAGCAACAGCATATATATAATATTTATATCTTTAAATTCTATTTAAGATACACAATAATAAATTAAAAATCTTCCAAAGTGCTGCAGATTATTTTAAAATGTCTTAAAAGAATATGTTGTTGTTGTTTGTTGTTGTTGTTTGCCGTCGAGTCGGACCCAACTCATAGCGACCCCTCCTTGGGTTTCTGAGGCGTTATCACTAGGGAAGTAGATTGCCCAACCTTCCTTCCGAGGAGTGGCTGGTGGGTTTGAACCACCAGCCTTCTGGTTAGTAGTCAAGTGCCTTAGGCACTATGCCACCAGAGCTCCTTTAAAAGAATATAGGGAAAATTATTATTCAGGGTTAGATAAAGAGTCCACACGCCCCATCCTTTTTCCTCTCTGAGTAAGGATTATTTTGGATTCAAGAATTTAGGCAAAATTTCCCCCAGGCTTTTTGATGCTATAACACAGTTTACTTTATATATTTAAATGACAGTAGATGAGGAATATAAAAAATAAAGAAGACAGCAAAGCAACCATAGTGGTTCTTGTAGGCAAATGATACATACACATCAAGGCAAAAAAGTGATCCTGTGCCTCCATATATCAGAGAATCTCTCATGTTGCTCAAGTTACTTGCACAGTAACCATACTGGTGTTCTTTCCTTTCCCAACTGGCTAGTTTCATCAGCCTTAAGGCATCTGCCCTAGACTCTGCCTCCAACCCTCTTCTTTTAGCAATACCTACCAGAAGGCTGGTGGTTCAAACCCACCAGTCACTCCTCCTCAGAAGACTGGGCGATCCACTTCCGTAGATATACCACCTCGGAAACCCAAGGAGGGGTTGCTGTGAGTTGGTATTGACTCAAGGGCAGTGAGTTTCTTTGTTTCTTTTCTTTTGGGAGGATATGCCCTTCCCTATTATACAACTCCTCCTAGTTATCCGTACTTTAGTCTTGAGCATGTATCACAATGCAGCTAATTAACACATGATGAGCTTTGTGATTATTTCTTTATTTCTCTTTTCTGCCACAATTCATTATGGGCTTTAGGAAGCCAGGGACTATGCCCAACCAACATAGTGCTGTGTGCTCCACATTTGGCATTTAAAACCTATCACCTGAGAGTATGAACTCCAAAGAAATAAGACTGTGAAATCTACAGATACAAAGAGGAGGGTTTATTGAATTAGTAGTGTAGAGATCACGTTTCCAAGGGAACAGGTGTCTCTACGAAACCCTCACTCTTTATCAACATTTGTTTCCCCTTTTCTCAGAATTCACACCCTGTGTTCAGAAATAAAGACACAGAATGAGAGGATATGAATCTGCTAAAAGTTTAGGGGTTGATTTGTTCTTTCTATCCTTGTGCACTGAAGAAGTTCAGCAAAATTTTGCTGACTCTGCTACTGAGAGTTCCACTCTGCCGTGGGGTGCCTATGAATTAAAATCAGCTCAACAGCACCGAACACCAACGGTCAGTTAGAATATAAGGCAGATCTAACTTGACAGCACATAACAACAACAACAATATAAGGCACTAACAGGGGCTTTATTTTCCCTCAAAAATACCTCTAATACTAGCAGTGACAAAACACTATGCACCACAGGTTTGAACCACCAACCTGGTGGTTAGCAGTCAAATGCCTTAGGAACTACGCCACCAGCGCTCCCAAATATACAATTATTATGACAATATGAACATCTAACGCAATCCCACTGTGACATAAATGTATGAGAAAAAGTCCCAAGATGGACCAGTCCCAGACATTAGTTCAATTAACTGGATACAAATTCAGGCTTTTCCATTTCCTTTGTTTTGACTTGCAGGAGGCATTATCAGAGCATCTCAGGCTTCAGAACTAAAAGGGAAATACTTTCATTGTTCACATAACTTTATAAACAAATTAAGGAAAGGGTCAGACCCATGGTCTTCAGTCCTATGAGTCTTCAGTCCATGTTGCAAATTTCAGACTCATAAGAATTATGACTACATATAAATGGATATCTTAAGTAGAAACTAGACTCCTTTCTCTTTAGTTAGGCATGCTCACTTTAAACAGAACCCAGGCCAAAAAATCACTTAACAGTATTTTAACACTCAAATGACATTTTCCTTGAACTAAATTAAATAAATAAATACATGTAACTACAAGCAAAAAATATTTTTCTTCATCCAAAATATCTGATGAGCACCTACAGGGTGCTAGTTATTTAAATAGACGGCAAAGTATTAAATACAATGTTGAACAAGTCTTCATGAAGTTTATAGGTTAGTTAGAGAGACAAACCTTGAACAAAGAATTATAGATGGGAGGAAAGTACAATAGAAGCATAAAAGGGGGAACAAACCCGGTCTAGGATACTGAGAGGACCTCTTTGAAGAAGTATAAAAAAGCCCTAGGGGAGGTGGAGGTGGGGCAAGATTAGTGGCTTCTTCCTAGAGCAAGACAAAAAGGACTGTAGCTGAAGTATAGTGGGAAGGGATTGAGTGGCCTGAAAACACTGAAGGAAAATATCACACACACTCTGGTAGTGTAGTGCCTAAGGCACGTGACTGCTAACCAGAAGCCTGGAAGTTCAAAGCCATCAGCCACTCCTCGGAAGGAAGACTGGGAATCTACTTCCGCAGAAATACCGTCTCGGAAAGTAAAGGAGGGGTCGCTATGAATCAGACTCAACTCCATGGCAGTGAGTTTGTTTTTGAGGTTTAAACTTCTGAAAAGCTATAATTATCTTTAGTAGACAGAAAACTGGCCTTTTGTTAGATTAGTGGACATTTCTTGGATTAATTCATCCTAACCCATAGGCTTGAAAATCAAGTATCATTTTTAGGCATGTAGGAAGACTCAAAGTTCCCTGGGTGGTGCAAACGATTTGGGTTCATATCTAACCAAAAGGCGGTGGTTTGAACCCACCAAGTGGCATCAAGAAAAAAAAGACAAAGTGTTCTGCTTGTAAAGACTAAACCAAACCAAACCCACTGCTGTTGAGTTGGTTCTAACTCACAGTAACCCTATAGGATGTAATAGAATTGTCCCACAAGGCCATATATCTTTACAAGACTGCCACATCCTTCTGCAAAACAGATGCTCAGTTTGAACCACCAACCTTTCAGTTAGCAGCTGAGTTCTTAACTGATGTGCTGTCAGGGTCCCTTCCTGTAAAGACTACAGCAAAGAAAACCCTAAGGAACAGTTATACTCTGTAACACATGGGTTGCCTTACTAGCAACAGGTTTTAGGAAGATTCGACTATGAAAGTAAACTGAGGAGTACAGTCAGAGACTCAGTACTCAGATACTGGTCAAGGCTGTGAAACCAAAACTCTTTTAATGGTTAAAGTAGGGACATACCCGAACTTTGAGTTTGATGTTAGGATAGTAGGAATATATACTTTGAATGACTAGACACATTAAGTGTTTTCAAACCACAACTGCATCTAATTTTTTTTATTATTAAAAGCAAACTATAATATAAAACTTAGTCAAATATAACTAAAATTACAGCTAAGAGAATCATAGAAATGTACAGACAAATCAGGGCCATTTCTGTACTTGCAAAATAACTGTGGCAAAGAGGAATTCATCAAAAGTTAAAAGAAACCAGAGTGAATAATATGTTGTAATCTATATAGAAGATACAAAATACTATTCACTCTGGAGAGATTACAACATATTATGCACTCTTATTTTGAAACTCCTGAATAATTCATATTTCCCATATTTATTTTATAAGTACAGTACTGGTTCTGGGTTTTTTTTTTTGTTTGTTTTGGTTTGGTTTTTTATTTCTATGATTCTATTAGTTATAGTTTTAGTTATATTTGACAGAGAAAAGTTTTGAATTGTTTATCATAGTGAGCTATTAAGGCAATCTGGAAAATCAACCACTCATCTATCAGTTTGTAATACTGTCGTCCCTTCCTTGTTACTGTGATGCTAGAAGCTATGCCATCAGTATTTCAAAATCCAGCAGGGTCACATATGGTGGACAGATTCATCAGAGCTTACAGACTAAGAAAGACTAAGACAAAGGACCCGGTGATATATTTCTAAGAAAACTGGTCAATGAAAATCTTATTCATAGTAGCAGAACATTGTCTGACATAATGCCAGAAGACACTTCCTTGGGGTGGAACACTCAAAAATATGACTGCATAGCAGCTGCCTCCTCAAAACTGAATCAACCTTAATGTAGTACATGGAATAAAGATTTTAGGACCCTCATATGTTGATGTGGCATGACTCAAACTGAGAAGGAACTGCTACAAGCATCCATTAATAATCAGACTGTGAATATAGGAAGTATAAATTTAGGAAAATTGGAAGTCCTCAAAAATGAAATGGAACAAATAAGATCTTTATCCTAGGCATTAATGAGCTACAATGGACAGGTTTGGCAATTTTGAATTAGATAATCATATGGTCTACTGTGCTATGAGTTGGGTCTGACTCAACAGCACCAAACAATGATAATAACAACTGTGCTGGAAATGACAGATTGAAGGGGAATGACATTACCTTCATCGTCAAAAAAATTTCAAGATATATGCCAGAGTACAATGCTGTAAGTGGTAGAATAAAGTCCTATATTAATGTCCATAAGGAAAATCAGTTATTACAAATATTATTTAAATTTACACACCAACTACT